GGTTATTCTCACAGTCCTTGAATGTGGATTGTCTGCATTTTTTCCTTTTCTTAGCTTTAACCTACTGAGAAACTAAGAACTTGTTTTTTTTTTCTGGAAAGACACACCACTTTATCTTCTTTGGCAGAGCTAATACACTTCTCCCTTGTGAACATTATAGGTGGGTCTGGGAGCACCAGCAGTAGACATTACTCAGTTTTCAGTTCCTTTCCACTTAGCCAAACTGTTAGTGCTTGGGCTAAGAGTTTCTATGCCAAGTATTTGCCTTAGGCTGACTTTTTTTTCTTTATTTCATTTTCTAATGCCAGATCAAACAGTTTATCTGTTTCCAGCAACAATAAGACAAACATCTTAGGAGTTATTTTAATGTCAAAAATCATGGCAAGGTTTTTCATAAAGTCTGTGTTGTTATCACATAGTGTGGAACTGAATGCAGACAAGATCTTGCCTTTGTGTCAGTGGTGGTTGCATCTTTTGTGACACATGGAATATTCCCCTGTGCTTCAAGTCAGAAGCCTGCTAAGGACTGCACTTAAGAAGACAGCTTTCATGTGCTCCTCATGGAGTATTTTGCCTGTACCAAGAATATTCTGAGTCAAGCCTGAGCAGGTCTTTCTGTTCGAATCACAACCCTGAGCTGTGGTGGGAGGTGCTGCATACAGACAAATGCACCAGCACTGAGACTGGGCACCAGCATTCCATCTGCTCTTCGTGGTTGCCTCTGAGCTGGTGGAGATGGGCACCAGGTCTCACTTCAGACTCCTCCAGGCTCTCCACTGTCCACAGTGTTCCATGATCTCTGTGACAAGTTTCTGTCCCACAAAAAATGGGACAGAAGAGAAAAAACTCTTCAAAAGACTGTGAAGAGTTGATGGAATAAGACAGTTAGTTGGGAACTGTCAGGATGACAGAAACCTTGATTGCTAAACATTTGAATTTTCTGATTAAAAGGCTTTTACAGAGAATTAAACTATGAACATAGCATATATTCTTGTTAAATATCAGAAAATTAATAAGAGAGCAAATGCTGAGGTAGAGCTTGGGTGGGTAGTGAGGATGAAGAGAGTCATTAGGTATGTCTGAAATGTAGAAGATGTCTCAGTCAGTGGCTGGAAAGGCTTAGACACCGTGTAATTCACAAGGATTGAGGCCTTAACCTTGAGGACTCGAGTCTCTGTTGGGTACTATGTGATTGAAACTTTTCTCCATGAGGGCACTCTTGACTGATCTCTTACTTGCAAGTTTACTGATATTTAATAGAGATGAGAATTATTGCTCCTGGTGGAGGAGGGGTTTGAACCTCTCTTCTGCTTGATCACCCATTTCTCTGTAACTTGTACACAGAAAACTTGTAAGTTAGTCGCAGATGGTTGATACTGAAGTGGGGATGGAGAAGCTGGAAGGAGCCTCAGAGCCACAGATCATGGCTCCAGCAGGAAACAAGCCTCAGCAGAGAGGGGAGGGTGAGCCAGGTGTGTGACAGGCAAATGCCTGTAGGGTGCCGAGTGATGTGCGATTGAGACACAAAGGAGCTACCCACAACGGCTGGGTAAGAGAATTAGGGAGAAGGAACTTACCTTTTGCAGAGAAGCAGAGAGGTAGATGGAGCTGATATGCATGTCTGGGGCTGAACCTCTCCCCTCCTTCCTGAACACATGCAGTTCCTTGATAAGATCAGCATAGGATCACTGGACTGTGGGGGTAAGGGAGCAGGGGAGGCTGGGAAGCAGAGCACTGTCGTTGGTTCATCATGGCCATGCATTTTGCCCAGCACAGGGAGTTGAGGAAGCTGTCAGGAAAGGTAATCAGAAAAGGCAATGGGTGGTGCAGAGCATCCTAGGAGAAGGGAGAAGGAGGTGAGAGCTCATGGGAACTTGTTCAGTGCTGGAGCAGAGGCTCAGGCAGACCCTTATGGAGAAGTTGTCCTGGGATGAGACAGGAGGGACCTAATCCTCTGGAGATGGTTCTTCTCCCCAACCAGGCTCAGTCCCTGTCCTTTATCAAACCTGTTTTACTGTGGCCAATACCTTCCAGGAAAGGTCCATGCACAGACATTGTTCCAGCACTGATGCCAGACAAACAGGTGTCTTTGTATCTCCCCAAGGGTCACATGCATAGGAGTGGTATCTATGTGTCATCCAGGTGTCATTGTCATGCCATGGGGTAAAAGTTCTTTGCTTTGCTTCATTTTCCTCCCATTTGGCTTTGGAAAATTGCATACACACATATAAAAAGCTCCAAATTATCTTAGGAAATGCAAGAGTCTAAGCTCCCTCTGGGAAGACAGGAAATGAGACAATAGCACTGGAAAGCTGCACCAAGTTTAATTCGTGTTTTTGTGTTTTTCTTCTGAACTGTTAGGATTTTTATCTTTTCATTTCTCATACACTGTTAATCTGGCTTCTCTGTGTGGTCCTGTTGAGACTCAGAAGACTTTCCTGGGATACCAATAGACATGTGGCATACCTGCAGCACTGGGCTCTGGGTTAGGGATGTGGCTTAGTAAGCAGCTATGTCACAGCTTTTCCAGCAGTGCTGTAAATCCTCTGCTCTTCAGCACAGACCTGGCAGTAAGAAGCGGTACCTGTAAGAAGTAGTCATGTGGCACAGTTGTGCCTCCAGTAAGCAATGGGGGCAATTCTTACAATAAGGCATGACGTTCTCATTACCCACTAGCCAGAAGAGACCTACAGGGCAGGTGTACTCTGGGATTGCACAGCCCAATTGAACAAGGTGGAACAAGCAATCTGGTATAGGCAGCCTTGCCAGGGCATGCTGCTGTATGGCTCTTCTGTTCAGGTGAGAAGTGGGCTATGCTATTTCACATGTAGTTACACCCAGAGGTGTTTTGTTGCAGGGGTGTGCAGAACAGAACAGTTTTGACATTCTGTGGAGTGGGTTGCCCCGTGTGCCTGCACTTTTGGGATTGGAAATGATGCTAAAGGCATCAGCTAAAACAGTGCAAAGCCAGTACAGAGGAAGGGTTTTGTGCTTTAGAGGAAGTAACTGTCTCCTAATTTTTCCTCTTGGGAACATTTTTGGTACAATATGTATCTCTTTCTTGCAAATAACAAGAATTGGGTGAATGTGATTATAAAGGTTCACCTCCTGCAGTGAAAGTGTTATGTGTAAGTGTTTGTGGCTGACCTATTGATTTATCTCCCCAGCCTTTGGCTGTCTGGAGATAAAAGAACTTGTGTGAGGGGGATCTGCCTCCAAACAGTCTTCTGTGAGTCTGGCTGGGAAGGCAGACAGTTTGTTCTGTATATGAAAAAGAGATTTTAAATTTTTATTTTGCAGTGAGTTTGAGTGAACTGACTTTAAAAACCACCAAGTAGCTCTCTGTAAATAAATCCAGATGAGTGAAATATTTGTGTTTTTACAGCTCTTAAAACACATTTTATAATGGAGATGAAGGATGTCTTTGCAGGGGGAGGTATGGGCATTAGAGCAATATTTGTCATCATCTGCAGTACGAGCAGGAATAGTGCAAATTCTCCTGCATAATTCCATAAAAAATGGGGTATGTCTAGCCTATAATATTTATAACTATCATAAAAATTTTTGTTATGCTGCATGCAGTGTCAGATCCATTTTGTTCTTTAAATTACATAAGATGGATCAGAAACCAAGAATTTCATTAAAACTTTTATAGAAAATTATCATAAATTCCTGCTTACAAAAACAGCCCTCTTGGAATGTATTCATTCTTTGAGTGAGAAATATGATCACTGGCTAGTCATAGAATTAAAAAAGAATATAATTTTTGTTATCCATTAAAGCTAATTAAAAATGTGCATAATTTGAACATATTACAATAAATGCAGAACTGCAGCACACTGGAATGTATTCCTATATCTATAAGAATAGTTGTTCAGCATAGTTTTGAAGAAAAAATATTTTCCTTATTCTAATTTATTTCTACCTCTGAACAATCACACATCCATGTTTTGTTTAGTCAGTTTTTTGTTCCCATACTATCTTTTGCCAGAACATTTCAGCAACAGCTAATCAATTACAAAGTAGAAGCTCATGTTCAGTTTAGTTATTCATTTTCTTATGCCATGATGTTATCAGTGATATTTTAAAACGGAATCTTCTGGAAACAATCCAGCTAAATCACAGGGAAAAACATATAAGAAGGTTATATCAGAACTGAGGTGTTTGGCATTAATGGTTTGTGTGCTGCCACTTCAAATTTCACATACACTCCAAAAAAATTATAAGGGTGACTATTGATAATTAAAATAAGAAGGATACTAAGTTGTTTGGATTGCATACAAGAAGAATAAACACAATCATTATCAGTTTACAATGAAAAGACAAGGAATTTGTTAACATTTCATTTTCAAGAAGTGTTGGATTAATTCAAGCAATTAAAAGTATAACCAGCTTTCATTTTTGAGTTAACATTTGGGACCTTTAGTAAAGCTGATGATGTTTCTGGATAAGAGAAAATAAATAGTATGCCACTGTGGTCTATAGTCAATAGTGTCTACTGAATGTTAGGTAGTTAATAATTTAAAAAAAGAGAGCTTGCTGCTACACTTACAAGGTTTTCCCTTTTGTTAAGGAAGGAGACAGGTTCAGTTGCCTGTTGGGTATTCCTCTGTATGCTCACTTTTAGTGAATTAAAAATGGCTTTTCCTCAAATAAGAGAAACTGCCCTCAAACTACAGGACATGATTATTTTGGCAGCCTTGATATGAACTATCTGAAAGATCAGAGCCTTTTAAAAAAATAAAAATAAAAAAGTCTTTCAAAGGTGTTTTGGCTTAACATTATTTGAGCAAGACAAAAAGGGAATTGTAGTAGCATCAGATGCAGGCAAAGGTGATTGTACCTCCTCAAGGACTTGACCAAAATTTATGTTCAGGGGATGCTCCTGAAGAATGAGCAAAAGAATATTGGGGAGTGTGTATTTTTACAGTTGTGCATTGTGTAAATGAAAATTCTTTCTATCTCCTGACCTGAGCTCAGATCTGTTTTTTTGCTTCCAGGATGTACAGCACAGATGGTGGAGACTAATTGGGGTGGAGGGCAAAGCCTCTATGTGCTCTTGAAATCCTGTGCCTCTCTGGAGGTCGAGGGTGAGGTTGCTGTGGCACAGGCATCCTCGGGGCTGATGTGAGCGGTGGCAGCCTCCCTGTGTTTGCCTGCTGGTCATGATGCAAAGCTGAACGGCTGCAGCAGCTGTCTAACACACTTCTCTCAGGACAAATTTCTCCGTCCCTCCATCTGACTCAACCAACAGAAGTGTGTCCGTGCATGGAGGGGTCCTGTATTGAGCCCTGCAGCAATCCCAGCAGATGCAGAAGCAGCATTTGGCGTGCAGATCAGCCTTGCTGTGCCGGAGCTCTTTTATTTTGGCTGCCTTTGTTGGGCTTGTATTTTACTAGTGTTGCTGTAAACAGAACTCTGGCAAACTGCTTCCTTTCACCTTTTCCAAGTGTCAGAGCTTTGGAGGGCAGGATGGCTTCAGAGATATGCAAATAATTTCCTTGTACTAGCCCTGGTGCTCAGAGATGCAGCAATATTTCCATCTGCCCTCCAACAGCTCATGCTGAGTTCTGTCTGTGCTAAAACTTGCACTGTAGCAGGCTGAGACTTGGTCTGGGAGCTTGGGGTTTGTTCCATCCCTAAGCCATTCCCATCCTTTTCTTCTTCCCAGAAAAGAAGACTAAGTCACAGCTGGGCTTGTCTCACATTTGCATCTGTCCATAACCTTCATGCCAGTTCTCAGTCCCAGCCACTGTTACAGATTATATTATACACAGTTTACAGCAGTAAATGACATAGGGAGATGCTAATCAGAGCTTTTGTGGAGCCTCCTCATGTAATTTGTGTTGTGTTTCTTTTCACTGTACCACCAGTCAGCCTCATTCGTGTTCGGTCTGAAGTACTCCATTTGCAGGCACGCTGTGTTGTACCCAAACCTTTTGTCTTCTCTGTGGTCTTTTTGAGTTTCTTCCCCTCCCACTGCTTCTCAGGTGAATCCCTATGGGTGTTTGCCATACTAAAAGAGATCCCAAAAGTACCTGTCCTTTGGCCCAAGAGGCAGCAACAAAGCAGGACTGTCAGGTGGCAGGAACCCCCAAAGCAGTGATGTAGATGCACAGCATGTGCAATTTAAAATGGTCATTTAATGTGCAACAATCAGGTCAGGCTGACATCAGGGAATGGGATGTTAAAGGCTTTTTAGTGGGCACATGAAGTAGTATGAGAATTAAGCTGACATGCTTTCATGTCTTGAGTGCAGAGGTGGCCTTTCTGCTGTATCATATTTGTGGGTGTTAGAGAGAAGCATCCTGTAACAGGATTCTCCATGAGTTACGTCCATCTACATTTAAATGACAAAGGTCATGTCCACTTGTACAGTAATTAAATTTTAATAAAATAAGAATAATTTATAGCATTCGAGTCTATGCTATAATTGAGCAGGGTAACTATCCCTCAGCCTCAATACATGATATAATTTATGCATGAGCTCAGAATTCTCTGTAAGATGCTGAAATCAACATTGCATGTTGAGGTTGAGGATACTTATTTTAGACACTGAGTTTGAAAATTGTGGTTTGTGGAAATTTATGCAAAAATATTGCCAAAATAAGCATTGAAAACCTAATTTCAATATGCAGCTGCTTGTAAGCATGGTAATTAAGATATATTGGGTAAATTTACTACATCTGTTCTCACCCACACCAATGAGACAAAAGTTGCAGATTTCAGATGAGGACTCACCAAAGCTTTAAACTCCAGACAGGACCCAGGAGAAAGCTGTCTGGGGGAGCAGGTCTGCTGCTTAGCCTGGTCTTGTCTCCACTGCTCAGAGCTTTGATGGAGAGAATGTTGTTGGGATCGCCCAGCTCCCACTTCTTGAAAACAGTTTTCACAGATGAGCTCACAGTCCTGCAGGGAGGGAGAGAGACAGTCAATCAGCACGTTATCTGGATAAAGAAACCAGAGTGGGGGTTTAGATATTTCCTTGTCAGGAATCAATCAGTGTCGACTTTACATGCCCTCGCCAGTCACTCACTGCTCTAAATGCTGTGTTTACCCTCTGCAGGAGGAGATCTGTACTCTTTCTACCTTGCTGCTCCTCTGAAATAAATCAATGGGTTTTACCTCTACTTTTTCCTCTAGCTGGGGTGATGCTGGTCCCTGAAAGGAAGACGGAGGATGGGTTTGAGGAGCACTTCGGCTTGAACTACTTGGGACACTTCCTGTTGACTAACCTCCTCTTGGACACGCTGAAGCAATCAGGAACGCACAGCCACAACGCTAGGATCATCACTGTCTCATCAGCCACCCATTATGTAGGCAAATTGCACCTGAACGACTTACAAAGCAGGTACCGGTCCCTTTTTGGTACTCACTGATCTGTAGTAATCGTGTGCAGATTAAACTACAAGAGAATTGCTACTGACTACTGAATGAGCTGGGGTTTTGTTGCCTTTTTTTTTTTTTTTTTTTTAAATATAACTTACGGTGCTTCTCAAGCACTTGCTTTATATATTTAATATTTGATCAAAGCTTGCAGCCTTGAGCCAAAGGTACAGGTAATTTATACATTCTTAACGGCGTCTTTTATTCTGGACTTTGAAAACCTGACTTTGCCTTCTGACTTATACTGCGGTGATACTTGTGGTGCATGCAGGGCCTGGACTCGCCACTACCTAACCCGGGAGAGGCTCCATAGCCGGGGTGTTCGGCAATGGCTCGGATGGGCGCTAATAGACATGATCCCCATGAGGGTGAATGCAGAGGCCCCGCTGCTGCCCTCAGACGAGCTCAGCCAGCCGCCCGTGGCTGCTGGCAGCACAGCGAGGCTGGCTGGGCTCCGGGCCCTTCCTGCCCAGCTGCCTCACTCACAGCTGCTGTGCCGGGCCTCTGCTGCTCCTTCCTGCCCGGCAGCTCTGCCCGCAGCTCCCTCTGCCTCCGGCCGCCTGGTCCTGCCCCGCTCCTGACATCGGGGTCCCTGCCCCTGGCTTCCCTCACAGCCCCGCTCCAGCTGCCCCCACCCACCCCGGCCCCAG